ATTCAGAAAACTAAGATCATGGCATCTGGTCCCATCACTTCATGGGAAATAGATGGGGAGACAGTGGAAACAGTGGCTGACTTTATTTTTCTGGGCTCCAAAATCACTGCAGATGGTGATTGCAGTCATGAAGTTAAAAGACGCTTACTCCTTGGAAGAAAAGTTATGACCAACCTAGACAGCATATTAAAAATCAGAGACATTACTTTGTCAACAAAGGTCTGTCTAGTCAAGGCTATAGTTTTTCCAGTAGTCATTTAAAGATGTGAGAGTTGGACTATAAAGAAAGCTGAGTGCAGAATTGATGCTTTTGAACTGTGGTGTTGGAGGAGACTCTGGAGAGTCACAAGAAGATCCAATCAGTTCATCTTAAAGGAGATCAGTCCTGGGTGTTCATTGGAAGGACTGATGCTGAAGCTGAAACTCCAGTACTTTGGCCATCTGATGCGAAGAGCTGACTCATTTGAAAAGACCCTGATGCTGGGAAAGATTGAGGGCCAGAGGAGAAGGGGCCGACAGAGGATGAGATGGTTGGATGGCATCACCGACTCAATGGACATGAGTTTGGGTAAATTCCGGGAGTTGGTGATGGACAGGGAGGCCTGGCTTGCTGCAGTTCATGGGGTCACAAAGAGTCGGACATGACTGAGTGACTGAACTGAACTGAACTGATAGAGTTGATAGTGTATAAGCATTTTTATTATTTTATAAAAATATCCAGTTCACAAACAGAAAGTTTGAAAAACTGATCAGTCACCATAGATAAAGTGTGAGAAATCCTGCTATTTGTGGGAGTTGGTGGGGGATGAGAGGAACATGGTCAACTTTAGTAGCTATGCCCAATTGTCTTCCAATTATTGTTCCAAATTTGTATCCCTCACTCTCAGTGGTGTATAGGTGTTCTACTTCCTCCACATCTTCAACAACACTTAGTATTGAAGGACTTTTTATTTCTGCTAGTCAGATGTGCATTATAATGGTATCTTACTATGGTTTTAATTTGCATCACTGATTATAAATGAGGTCAGACATCTTTTAATATGTTTATTGGCCACTTTGGGTTTTCTTTTCTATGAAGTGACTATTCAAGTATTTTATCCACTTTTCTATTGGGTTATTTGCCTTTCTTTCATTGATTTGTGGGTTTAATTTATGTATTTTTGAATATAAATTCTTTTTTGGATTAACATGTTACAAATATATTCTTCCCAACTTGTGATTTATATTCTTAATCTCTTAATATATTTTTTGATGAACAGAAGTTCTCAATTTTAGCAAAGTCAAGTTTACCAACATCCATTTTCAATGTGTGCGTGTTTTGTTTCAGAAATCCTTTCCTATCTCAGTAATCATAGTGATATTTTCCTATATTCTAGATTTTTAGTTCTTGTTTTCACATTTAAGTCTATATAATCCAGTTGGAATTGATTTTTATACATTATGAAGTAAGGGCTCCATTAATTGAGCATTTTTTTCTTTTCTTAAACTGAAGCATAGTCGTTAGTTTCAGTGTTAGTTTGTTGTACAACAAATGATTCAGTTACATACATATTTTCAGATTCTTTTCCATTATAGGTTATTATAAGATATATTCAATATATCCCTGTGCTATAGTAAGTCCTTGTTTTTCATCTGACCCTGACTACTTTTCCCCTAGGTAGTTTGTCCAGTGAATGTCAAATAACCAATCAGCATAGAGCACATTGAGTAATCAGTAGGTTTGTTCTTTCACAAAAACATTTATAGCTTTTAGCTTTTAAAAATAGTTCCAGAGCACAGCAAGATAGAGAAGGGGAAGATTGGCCTAGATAATACAGAGGATAGCAGATGAAGAGGATTGATTTCATTTTGGGCACTTTGCCCAGGACACTTTTAATAGAACATATAGTTACTCTGAGGATTCTGAATCTGTGGTTATGTCAGGCTTACACATTTATTCTTTTAAAGGAAAAATTGCAAGTTATTAAATTCTAGGTACATTAGTCTGACTTAAATTTTTTAAACAGTTTCTGTAATCCAGCCATTGATAATTTTGCTGTGTGGGGGATAGATTCCTTAATATTAAAACTAACTCAACCATGGATAGAGAAATATTTTGAACTTCCTTCTTCTAAATCATAATGTGTTCATCATTTCTTTCAAAGTTTTAGTCATTTAAAAAGCTGTCTAAATAATGAATTAGTGGGTTATTTTTATATGAAGAATTTTTAATCTTACTGTTTTTAAGGACTTTCTTTGTATATTCAGGAATCAATCAAGTCTTTAAGGGGAAAAAAAAAAAAAAAACCTAAATTTTAGAAATATTCTCCTTCCTATTTTGCTACCTTACAGTTTATTGGGTTTGCCAAAAAGTTTGTTTGGATTTTTCCATAACATCCTACAGAAAAACCCAAACTAACTTTTTGACCAACCCAAGAGAATTACTGACCTTAGATTTAGCCTATTTTTAGGAGGCAAAATACCACATGATAATAGAGCTTGCATTAAATAGTGGCTTTGAATGAATTTTCCTTTTTTTTCTGTTTTCTAAAGCTTCAGTAATACATTCATTTACTTTTTTAAAAATAATTTATTTATTTTACTTTACAGCATTGCATTGGTTTTGCCATACATTGACTTGAATTCACCGTGGGTATACATGTGTTCCCCATCCTGAACCCCCCTCCCTCTTCCCTCCCCATCCCATCCCTCTGGGTCATCACATTGTACCAGTCCTGAGCACCCTGTATCACGCATCAAACCTGGACTGGCGATTCGTTTCACATATGATATTTCACATGTTTCAATGCCATTCTCCCATATCATCCCGCCCTCACCCTCTCCCACAGAGTCCAAAAGACTGTGTCTCTTTTGCTGTCTCGAATACAGGGTTATTGTTACCATCTTTCTAAATTCCATATATATGTGTTAGTATACTGTATTGGTGTTTTTCTTTCTGGCTTACTACACTCTGTATAATAGGCTCCAGTTTCACCCATCTCATTAGAACTGATTCAAATGTATTCTTTTTAATGGCTGAGTAATATTCCATTGTGTATATGTACCACAGCTTTCTTATCCATTCATCTGCTGATGGGCATCTAGGTTGCTTCCATGTCCTGGCTATTATAAACAGTGCCACGATGAACATTGGGGTACACGTGTCTCTTTCAATTCTGATTTCCTCAGTGTGTATGCCCAGCAGCAGGATTGCTGGGTCATATGGCAGTTCTATTTACAGTTTTTTAAGTTATCTCCACACTGTTCTCCATAGTGGCTGTACTAGTTTGCATTCCCACCAACAGTGTAAGAGGGTTCCCTTTTCTCCACACCCTCTCCAGCATTTATTGCTTGTAGACTTTTGGATAGCAGCCATTCTGACTGGCCTGAAATGGTATACTTTTATTACTTATAAAATTATTTATTACCCCCCTAATTATCCTTATAAAGAACTGGGCATTAAAAAGGTTAAAATCATTAAAGAGTTTTCACATTGTAGGTAATATGGAGGTTTACTTTTATTTTGAAGTGATGCATTAAGTATAATAGGCCAGATTCTTACTATGGACATTTTTTAAAATGTATTTTTTTTTTTTTAACGTAAAAATTACTTTTTATTACTTGAGACGATGTCATGAAAAGTTTTATTTTTTTAAAAATGAGTCTCTTGATTTAGGCCTCAGAAGCATAAGGGATTAACCACCACCGGCTGTCCCCACGGCTGCAAAGAGAGCTGAGGGGCTGACTAAGTTGAGGTCTGCATCCTCAAAAGCTATAATGGCATTGTTTCCTACAAGTTCTAATAAACTTCTCCCAAACCATCACCGTCATATTCAAAATGATGCATTTATTCAAGGCAAACACTCATTTTCTTTGTCTTCTTCAGAAGAAAGAGTTACAACAATGCGTAAAAAGCTTGAAATGTCAATTTAAAGCACTTTTTTACTGAAACTTGATTCCTTGGGCCAGAGGAAGGTCCTTACTGTAGTTGATGGTACAAATAGATCTTCTGATGTACTGCTTCCAGGCGTCACTGCCGGACTCCCTGCCCCCGCCAGTGTGTTTCTCCCCTCCACATGCACCTCCAATCTCAGTCCCACTCGTTGGAATGTTGACGTTTACAATGCCACAATCTGATCTTTTTGGTCCAAGCCAGCAAAAGATTCTGCCCATATCCTTGGTAAAGATACTACTTGAAAGTCCCTGTTTGACTTCATTATTCCATGCAAAGACCTCATCTTCATTCTTGAATTTAAAGACATAAAGAATCGGGGCAAAAGTCTCTGTGTGTACGATGGATGCGTCATGGTCAAGACCTGTCACAATTGTTGGTTCTATGTAATTTCCAGGGCGATCCATAACCTTGCCACCATAGACAATGGTGCCACCTTCTTTCTTTGCTTCTTCCACTGCTCCAAGAAACTTGCTTACTGCCTGTTTGGTGTGGAGTGGCCCATAGAGAATGTTAGAGTCCCAAGGGTTCCCAACACAGATCTGTGCGTAGGCCTTTTTAAGTCTATTGACAACTTCATCATGGATGCTTTCATGTAAGAACAGGTGCCTCGCGGTGGTACACCTCTGGCCGGCTGTCCCCACGGCTGCAAAGAGAGCTGAGGGGACGACTAAGCTGAGGTCCGCATCCTCAAAAGCTATAATGGCGTTGTTTCCTACAAGTTGTAATAAACTTCTCCCAAACCGCTCCTGTACCATAAGGGCCACCTGTTTTCCCACCTGCGTGCTCCCGGTGAAGGACAACAGGTCCACTCACTCATCCTTGGCCATTGCTGTGCCGATATCTCCTCCACCGCAAGTCAAGGAACAGATTGCACCAGGCAGCTTGTTGTCCTCCAGAACTTTGGTTATTATCTTTGTAACAGCTACACTAATGAAGAGAAGTTGTAGGAGCTCCTTTCCAAAGGCAGGCGATCCCACAGATCATGGCAATGGCGTTGTTCCGGCCGTACACGGCCACAGGGAAGTTGAATACAGTGCTGATTCCACCCAGGCCTACAAGATTCCACTGTTCAATGAGAGCATGGCCAGGTCTTTCAGAAGGCAAGATGGGTCCCCCAGTCATCCCAGATAAGCCAACAGCATAATCACAAACATCCATGTATTCCTGAACTTCTCCCACACCTTCCACCAAGATCTTCCCCATCTCCAAAGACACCAAGCTTCCTAGTACTTGGATCTTCTCCCACAAGGCATCACCAATCTGTCTCACTACATCTCCTCGCTTTGGAGCAGGAATATCTGCCCAGATGCTCCAGGCTTCTCTTGCTTTCTTTACAGTTTCTTCATAGTCAGACATGCTGGCCTGTCTGACTCTTGCAATGGGCTCATTGTTAGCAGGACAATAGGTGGTGATAACTTCTCCCCGGCCTCCCCAGCTTCCATTGTACACGCCGTCGTTTTCCTCGCGGAGCCCCAGCTCCTTCAGCCAAGCATATTGGGGCTGATCGATGAGCAGAGTGGACATGAAGGCGGCAGGCCTGCTCCAAGGTCCGGAGAACTTGCTCTTCCTTGCAACGGGCACGCAGAGCAGACCGGGAACGCGCCACATACTGAGTCAGGGATGCGAAGGGCGCCTGTGGCCGAGGAACAGCTGAAGTGGGGCCCCGCCCCCGCCCCCGGCCCGGAGGAGCCCATTGGGTGGGCCCGGCCCCGCCCTCGAGCCCGCCCCCCGCCGTCGCCCTGCCTAGCCGGGAGCTGTGGCCTGAAGGTTAACCAGAACCTGGAAAACAATGAGGGTCTGGACATTTTTAAAAGAATGTACTTAAAAGGTTGGAGCAGAAAAATTATTTTATGTAGTAAAAAAAAAAATCTGAAAATTCTTAGTACTGATGGTGCATAAGAGAAGGTGATTTTTTAAAATATTCTGTTCTGTTTTAGAAATACCAGAAAATTTTCACATTTGTCTCTTATATTGAACAATACTTTTAATGAGCCAGTGCCTCAGGACCTTTACACCTGCTGTTTCTACTACTTGGAATGCTCTTTCCTGCTTCTTTCTCCTTCCTTTAACAAACTCCTGCTACTTCAGTCTTGCTTAAATTATTCTTGAGAAATTTGTCATAACTCACCTCTCTAAAATTCCAAACCCCCCCCTACCTTTTTCTACCTTGGTCCCAACCCAGGTTAAATTCCTGTTATTTATTTTCGGGGCCCCTTCACTGCTTCATAATGTTCACTGTGGTTGTGAACATCAGTTCAGTGTTTATTTTCTTCACTGTTTCTTAATAGTGTTTATTTTGTTAAGGGCAGGATGCGTATCTTGTTTAGAGTTGTATTCTCAGTGTCTGCCCAGTGCCTATGTAATAGTTAATTAATAGTACTTGATAAATAAATTCCTTTAAATATTCATTTCACATGCTTTTCCAAACTCTAGTTGGTATTGTTTAATAATGGGATCTTTCCATTAGAGTAGTTACAGTTACTAGTAGGTCAGTAGCTGAATTAAGCAACTATGAGTTCCCACTAATTTGGAGTATTTTTAGCTTTTGAACATTTGGGATGAGTTTCAGATGCTTCTTAGGGTATATGGTCACAGTACCTTTCTTAAACAATAAATAGTAACTGCAAATATTGACTGTTCTGCTTGGTTATATTAATCCCAGTAGATCCAGGGTCACCAAAATAGTACAGTACATAAAAGATAAAATGATAAGACCATAGCCAGAATTGGTCTTCCACTTTCTTCTTCTTTTTCTTTTTAACCTTTTTAACTTTTTTAGGATTGAAGTTTCTGTTTTCCAAATCCTTATTGTAAAGCTCACAATGAATAGCTTTTATATAAGGATTTACAGTATTTAATGGGTCCAAAAAATCAAAATGTACACAAAGTATTTTAATTGAGCAGTTAGTCTCTCCAACTTTTTAATAAAACTAAGTTATTGTTCTGTATTTGTGACACGCATGTTGCACAGTAGAAAAGAAAATGTTTGTAATACATTGAGGTTATATATAATATTTAGCAACTACTTTTCTACTTATTAAACTACACATTGTGTTCTTTTGCAGTTCAAGCGATATGTCAGTAAACTTCGAAGCAAAAGTACAGTTTTCAAAAAGAAGCATCAAATAATAGCTGAATTTCAAGCTGAATTTGGTCTTTTGCAGAGGACAGAAGAACTTCTTAAGCAACGTCATGAAAATATTCAACATCAACTGGTAATACAGAATTATATTGAGGTTCTAGAAGTACAAATGCCTAGAGGTTTGTAAGTTGTAGCTTCATACTGAAGTCATTGTTTTTATTAGAAAAACCATAAAATTATTCATTTTTTTCTCATTAATTATAGAGGTGACCTGTAAGCTGATTCATGTACTTTACTGTAGCAATGAGTGCTTTTTTATGTGTGCTGGGCTTTGGGATAATTAATAGAAGTTGAATTCCAAGTAGCTTTTTCTTTTGGTTAGCTAGCTAATACAACAAAAATGATCATATCAGGAAATTGGCTGTAATTTATTTATTTATCATGGCCTACTAGGCAGAAATCTAAGCAGCCACTTCTGTGAAGCTATGGAAAGATATTTTCAGAGAAGATTCTATATGGAAGTTTGCCTGCAGGCTTGGTTCCCTATATATTTGTGCCTTGGTTGTCAAAAAAAGTTCAACCCAGAGAAATCCCTCTAGCAACAAAGCTGTTCTTTTGTGGGTGCCAGTTTCTCTGAGTTTTCTTGATTTGGCTTTTTTTTTCTTTCACCCATGTGGAAATTATGTCATCATGTGATGTTGCCTTGCACGCATGCATGCTAAGTTGCTTTAGTCATATCTGACTCTTTGTGACCCCATGGACTGTAGCCCACCAGCCTTGCTGTCCATGGGATTCTCCAGGCAAGAATACTGAAGTGGGTTGGATGTTGGCTTACCAGCTAGCAATAATCTGTTAGAAGTTAATGAAATTTCAACTAGTTGTGGTTAGCTGGCAATATGAACTTTTCTGTCTCATGCTGTTGAATATTGTTTGCTTCTAGAGAACTGAAGATTGAACACTTATAGTACATCAAACTTAGGTTACAGCAGTAACTTTTAAAATTGATACATAGCAACTGCATTATTGCTCACTTCAAAATATTTTCTAATTTTCGTTGTGATTTCTTTGACCTATGGTTACTGCTGAAAACCAAACATTTGGGAATTTTCTAGTTACCTTTCTGTTATTGATTTCTAGTTTATCTCTGCTATGACCAAAGAACATACTCTGTGATTTCAGTTTTTTGAAAATTCTGAATGTTGCATTATGGCTTAGCATGTGGTCTGTCTTGATCATTGTTCCATGCACAGTTGAGAAGAATGTATATTATGTTGAGGATGGTGTTCCATATATGTCAATTCAGTCTATTATGTTAACCATGATACTCAGATCTTCTGTGTTTATTGACATTTTCATCTGCTTGTCCTATCAATTATTGAGAAAGATGTTTTACAGTATCAATGATATTTCTCTTTTCAGTTCCATCAGTTTTTGCTGTACATCTTTCCTTAAGCTTCTTAGAATCAGAGCCTGAGAAGGGTATACTTGGTACAAGTGACTTTCTGAGGGAGGGAGTACCTTCAGAAGAAAGGGAATGAGGGAAACAAGTGGAGCAGTAGAAAAAAGCCAAACAAGTGTGTATTTTTTAAGTTTATTTTTAATTAGAGGATAATTGTTTTACAATACTGTGTTGGTTTCTGCCATACATCAGTATGAATCAGTCATAGGTATACATGTGAAGGGTGTATTCTTGGCTGAAAACAGCTTCTTCTTGATCCTGTGAGGAACATTTGGGTACAGATTGTACCATGGAGTTGGTTCCACCTTGAGGCAAGGGGTCTGGCCTTTTATACTCCCGTATCAGCCAGTCATCAGCCGTGGTAGGGTGATGAGGCCTAGATGAGGCAGCTCCCACTGGGCCAAGGGCATGTTCTGGAGAAGGGGCAACCATGAGGCATTAGCAGTCAGCACTCAAAGCAGCTTGCAGATGAGGTCTGAGTGGGGCACCAACAACATCCTCTATAACCCATCCCTTGCACTGAGATCTGCTTGTTTCTCATGTAAAAGTCACTCCATCCTGGTATTTCTTCTATAGGATTACAGTTGGTCAAAATTTCTAGGAATATTTAGGAGAGTTAGTGGGACAAATTAAAACTCTCTTTGCTGCATTTGGTCCCAAAGACATAATTAATACTCAATATCTCCTTCCTCTTCCATCCATCCTAGATTCCCCACACCTTTAGCTAGCACCTCCAGTGGTCTAGATGACTTACTTGGTCGGATTACTCAGTCCCTCATTCCTCAGAGCTATGAGATTCTAGTAACAATGCCCTTCTCAGGCTGTGGTTGCTAAACCTCATTTACTGGCAAAACAGGGCAGGAGAGTACAAACATATGCCATAATGGATCACATGAATGCCAAACATATTCCTATCTGTCCCCCATTATATAGCAACATCAGTATAGCCTTAAGGTATCCTGCCAATAAATCACTCCCTTTTTTGCCTGCTGGTCTTTGGGCGTGAGGAGCCCATGAGACAGAATAGTGGCCAGAGGATTAAGTTTAGAGGGCCTGTCAGTGTGCCTTCCGGTAAAAGCATGCCCATTCTGGAAATTAGAACATTTATACTCACAGAGCCTAAAGTTGTGCCTCTCCTGTTGTGGGCATTCTCCAGTGGCTATATACATGTGATGACGAGATCTTCACTTAGTGTTAATTCTTATAGCTTGGTCCACATGCCTCCTCCCCAGACCTCCTTGTCCCTAGTCATTCAGTCTTGCTCTCTTGCTTCCTCCAGGCCCCTGACCAACAAGCTAAGCCATTTGTCACTGCCTAGAGGATACAAGATAATCTGGGGTTTTAAGATTCTCAAGTGAATCTATCCAGTTATCCCCCTTTCAGACTTAGCACACATTCTCTTCCCTATCAGAGCCCTGACTTTGACATGGGACATATTCAGCCTTCTATGAAGTTTTGCCAGGATTAAGTCCTGTCCCTGTTTTCAGCCTTCTCTGCTCTGTAGCCATAGGAAATGACGGTTTCTTTAAATCTTCTAAGGAAGTTCTCTGACGTTATTGCTTTGCATTAAATCACTGATTAATGGATTGGAGCCTGTCATTTGAGCTTAGCAACAGCCACCCTGATTTCATAGTCTTACAGTTACTATTTATTTATGCTTCTCAAATACCAGCAACATTGCACCAGCTAGTACCTTCCTGTGAAAGTTCAGGTCCTCCAAGAAGCATCATCCAGACTTGTTTAAATGTACAAGAGATTTATGAAGGAAGTATTTATGAAGGGTAAAGGGAATCTGGCAGGAGGAGGCAGGGAAAGATGTCAGCTCCAACGCAAGTCTGATATCTCTGCTGAAGGAAGGAGGACTGGGGAGGAAGAACCTCAGGCTGTAGGATATTTTAAGGACGTTTTGGTTAGGAAGATGGGGAGTTCCTGAGCCAGTCACCAGTAAGAGGAGTCCCTTGTCAGGAGGGAATGGGTTAGCCGCTGGTAACAGCCTGGAGGAAGCATGGCCTTGGCATGAGCACGATGGTGGAGACAGAGGGGCAGCAGTAATGGCTGTCATTCAGCTTTGTTCCTCTCAGCAAACTCTCTTGAAGGAGATTCAGGCAATCCATTGTCATGACCAGCATAATCCCTTCCACCTATTTTCTGCCCTAGTTGACAAGTCTTAACAATTGTACTGCTATAACATGCCCAAGACTGATATTACTCTACTTGCCCTCAGTCAGAGGACCCTCTGCCTCGTTCATCCAGTGAGTGATCCGACCCTAGAAGCCAGGTTTGATCAGGTTCTCTAGAAGCAGAACCTGAAACAAGAATTCCTGTTCCTCCTCACATGATTAATTTAGTGAGTGCTCTTAGGAGAAAGGAAATAAAGGAAACAAGATGAAGCAAAGAGGAAAAAGTGGATTCATTTGGAGTCCAGTTTCATTCTGATTGCATAAAGAGCTCTGGAGCATAAATTGCATCACAAAGTTGGTCTCATCTTTAGGCAAGAGGGCTGCCCCCTTTGGGCCCCTGTCTTAGTCAGTCATTTGCTATGGATCCCCTTAACCACTCAAGAGGTGGTGTGACACAGTTCCTGTTCAGCCAAGGGTACACTTTGAGGAAGGGACAACTGTAAACCTTCAAAATACCAATTCTCACAAGATCCAGGGGCTGGGTACACTGACACAGTAAGCAGATCATGGCAGAGCACCCAGAGTATCCACTGCAGGTATCCTGAGATTAGTCCATATGAATTTATTATAGTTATCTTCCAATTGGCAGTGTTTGACATGATAGATAACTCCCTCTTCCTGTAGAATTGTTCTTTACTTGTCTTCTAGCACACTACACACTGCTTGTTTTTCTTTACTAACACTACTGTTCCTACTCCATGGCTGATTTCTTCCCACTTCTTCAAAGCCTAGATGTCAGAGTCCCCCAGGTTTAGGCTTTGGATCTCTTCTCTGCCCTCAGTCCCTTGGTGATCTTATTCTCTTATGGCTTTAAAGACATTGTCTGTGCAGACAACTCACAAATTTGTATATCCAGCCTAAATCGCTTCTCAAATTCCAATCTTGTACATGTAGCATTTTGAACTGTTGGATTTCTACTAGAGAGTATAGATTTTTAAAAACACATCCAAACTTAAACTTCTGATCTTCACTGCTGCCTCACCTGTCCTCCTGAGTCTTCCTCATCACAACAAATAGCAACTCCATTCTCTCAGTTTTTCAGGCCAACCCCCCCTGGAGTCATCTTTACCCCTCACTTTCCTTCACATCCTAACCTGTCATAATATCTTCTTGGAGGAGCTTCCCCGGCAGTCCAGTGGTTGAGAGTTCGCCTGCCAATGCAGGGAACTTGGATTCGATTCCTGGTCCAGGAACTAAGATCCCACATGCCACAGTGCAGCTAAGCCCATGCACCACAACTACTGAATTTGAGCTCTAGAACCTGTGAGCTGCAACTACTGAGCCTTTGTGCTGCAGCTACTGAAGCCCACATGCCCTAGAGCCTGTGCTTCACAATAAGAGAAGCCCACATACCACAACTGGAGAGTAGCCCCAGCTTGCCGCAACTTATAGAAAGCCCAAGCTCAGCAACGAAGACCCAGTGCAGCCAGAAATAATATATATACACACATATCTTGTTGGATCTATCTTTAAAATATATACAGAACCACTTCTCATCTCCTCTGTTGCCCTCATCTGCTTCATACTACCATCATCTCTAACTTGAATTATTGGAATTGTCTTCTGATTTCTTTGCCCCTTGTCCCTCTATAGTTTGATCTCAGTCAGCATAGATGTTAAAGTTTTCACTTAAAAACCTCTCTATTCTGAACCTTTCATCAAGTCTCCCATTCCATTTAAAGTAAGTCCAAGCTCTTTCACTGGCCTAAAACACAATATAATTTATCATGAAAACTAGGACACTTTTTAGAATGCAAACGACAATAGATGTAAACTGATACTGTCTCAGCTAACCAGCTAAGTCCTATATGATCCCTCCCCTATCTCCACCTCTGTTTTAAGCTCCCCTCATCTAGTTGTTTATTGAGAGGGCCAAGCATGCTCCTGTGCTGGGCTGTTCTCAGTCGTGTCCAAGGATTGTAGTCCCCCAGTCCCCAGGACTGTAACCCCAAGGACTGTAATTTGCTAGGTTTCTCTGTTCATGGGATTTCCCAGGCAAGGATACTGGAGTAGATTGCCATTTACGACTCCAGGGGATCTTCCCAACCCAGGGATTGAACCTATGTCTCCTGCATTGGCAGGCGGATTCTTTACCGCTATGCCACCTGGGAAGTCCCCGAGTATGTACCTACCTCATGTCTTTTGCACTTGTTGATCCCCTGGGTATCTCTATGACTTGCTCCCTCACTTCAGAACTTCACTTAGGTGTCATCTTCTCAGGGAGATCTTATCTAACTACCTTGGTACTTAAGATTCCAACCCTACTCTTCCCTCACACTGTATGTATTCTATTTTATTTTTCATTTATTTTTATTAGTTGGAGGCTAATTACTTTACAATATTGTAGTGGTTTTTGTCATACATTGACATGAATCAGCCATGGATTNTCTCCAGCATTTATTGCTTGTAGACTTTTGGATAGCAGCCATCCTGACTGGCGTGTAATGGTACCTCATTGTGGTTTTGATTTGCATTTCTCTGATAATGAGTGATGTTGAGCATCTTTTCATGTGTTTTTTAGCCATCTGTATGTCTTCCTTGGAGAAATGTATGTATTTTAGTTGTTTACCTATTGCCCATTTGCTCTCACTAGAAGTTAGCTCTATGAGGGAAGGGATTTTTTCCCCTGGTTTTTTCTTTTTTTCACTGCCGTATATTGGTGCCTAGAATTGTGTTCTTGTTCAGTTTGTAAGTTGTGTCTTACTCACTGACTGCAGAACACCAGGCTTCTCTGTCCTTCACTTTCTCCCAAAGCTTCCTCCGATTCATCTCCATTGAGTCGGTGATGCTCTGTCTAACCATCCATTCTCTGCCATCCCCGTCTCCTTTTGTCTTCAGTCTTTCCCAGCACCAGGGTCTTTTCCAATGAGTCAGCTCTTTGCATCAGGTGGCTAAAGTATTAGAGCTTCAGCTTCAGCATCAGTCCTTCCAGTGACTATTCTGGAAGGTTTGATCTCCTTGCTGTCCAAGGGACTCTCAGGAGTCTTCTCCAGCACCACAATTCGAAAGCATCAATTCTTTGGCACTCAGCCTTCTTTATGGTCCAATTCTCACATTCGTACATGACTACTGGAAAAACCATAGCTTTGACTCTATGGACCTTTGTTGGCAAAGTGATGTCTCTGCTTTTTCATTCGCTGCCTAGGTCTGTCATAGGTTTCCTTCCAAGGAGCAAGCACCTTTTAATTTTACGGCTGCAGTTGCCATCCACAGTGATTCAAGAGTGTAAGAAAATAAAATCTGTCATTGCTTCCACTTTTTCCCCTTCTATTTGCCGTGAAGTGATGGGACCAGATGCTATGATCTGTGTTTTTTGAATGTTGAGTTTTGAGCCAGCTTTTTCCACTCTCCTCTTTTGCCCTCATCAAAAGACTGTTTAGTTCTTCTAAAGAGCCTAGAACTGTACTTGGCACATTAATAAATACTAGATAAGTGAGAAAATATGTACAGTTTTTCACTTGAGATCATTCATTCACCAAATATTTAATGAGTGCATCCTATGTTTTAGTTTCTATGCCAAGTACATAGCATTACGCTCGTCTAAAATTATAATTACTTCCTATGCTCCTGAAGATGCTGTAGTAAAATTTAGTATAAATTTATAAAATATAAAGGAATATAATTATTGTTGAAGTCAATAAAGATTGTTGACTAAATTCCTTTATTTTACTTACAACTTTATTGTTGTGTATTAAATCTATATACTTCTTATGGAATCATCAAGGTTTGACATCAATTTTGTGGACTCTTGTTCTTTACACCTATTTTTGTTTTTTACTTTCAGCAAACTATTGAGGAGAAGAGGGGTATATCTGGATATAGTTACACTCAAGAAGAACTAGAACGAGTATCTGCTCTGAAGAGTGAAGTTGATGAAATGAAAGGACGAACACTGGATGACATGTCTGAAATGGTGATTACACAGGCTTTGTTTTATACACAGGCTCTAAGGCAGATATTTTTGTGTTTGTTCTGTTTTCAGTGCAACATTCAGATTTTCATTTCTGTGTATTGTTTTCATTATATTCTTTCATCTGTCTTTATCACTTTAAAATTTTATCACTTTTATCACTTTAAAATTTTTCCATTCTTATGAGGTTGTTCGATTTGTAATACTTTACATGTTTTTTGGTTTTTGAAGTGTGTAAAAGTTACATAGCATTAAAGAAATATTTAAGATAAAAAAATAAGTTTCCCCAAATTATACTGCTTAATTTAGTACAGTTATTTCATTTGTGTGTGTGCCCTTAGTTTCTTCCCATGTTTAGGACTGCCATTCAGCCAGAATGCACAGATAGAGCTTCATCAGACTTTAAAATGTTGAAATCTTTCATTATTTATTGGTAAATAGCTGCTGCCCCAAACTCTCAGTGTACCCACCTCCACCTGCCTTGCCCACCTGGTTCCCAGATCCCTCTGGATTTCACAACATTCTAACTCCTAAAAAGATTAACATTTTGCACAGCAGACGCCTCCAAGATCTGATTCATCTCTATGGCTGGTGTCCGTTGTGATTGGTAATTGCTATACCTTTTGGGTTATTAAGTAGTTTGACTGTCACTTCATCCATGTTTATATGCATTTTATATAATCTACATAATTTATATACTTTTTAAACTTAATATAGAGTTGTATATCAGCAACTTTGTAATTTGTTTTAGTCCTTCAGCTAGATTATAAATATTTTCCAATAATGGTTTGCAGTCTTAATAATTGACAATTTGAATAGTCAAATGATATTCTATCTTACTGAGAAGTCAATACTTATTAAATGACTTCATTTTAGTTGGCATTGAAATAATTTATAGTTTTATTCACTTATATAAATACTTCAGTAAATATCTTTATATATATAGTATTTTTGTTCTTTTGAATTATTTTCTTAGATGTCATATATTTTGTTTAAATGGCAGGTAAAAAAACTAAATTCCCTGGTATCTGAAAAGAAGTCAGCTCTAGCTCCAATTATAAAAGAACTACGACAATTGCGTCAGAAATGCCAAGTAAGATTATTTAGTTTTGTGATTGATACTTTTAATACTCTCTCTTGTTCAAATGTATTAGTTAAAATCCTAGACATTTTACTTGGATAATTCCTGGCAAACAAATCATTATTTTTATATGATTCTGTGAAAGAGAATAATATTGTGACCATCAGTGGTTTTTGTTTAATTTATGTTGTTTGTTTTGTCATAAATTTTTGCGCTGGGGAGAGAAGGAATAGTTTAAGCTAAAGTCAAAAGTGCAGCCAAATGAGATTTGTGCTTTAAATAATGTTCATGTCAAAGCTATAAATATGAAGTCACATTCTTCAGTGGCCAGGTGAAAGTTCAGAGTGTGCCAACAAGTGGTGACAAGTTAATGTTAGATTAATGAACTTGCTTTGCTGGGGAGCAGAATGAGGGGCAAATCATGATAACTTATGCTTAAGTGATGAAATACAGTTACTTGGAAGCTAATTCTAGACACTGCTTTAAAGATAAACTGTAAGAAGGTAAATGCCCAGATCAGGTGCCCTTCACCATTTGACATTAACAATTGTTATTTTATCATTCTCCATGTAGTAATTTTAGGTTTGAATGTGAGCTGTACTGCATGTGCCTAAGGATGAACTATAAAACTTTTCATAAATGCCATCCATCAGAGTCAAGAGAAGCAGAGTGAGAGATCACATGGACCTTGAAATCAGATAGACATTGTTTCCTTTTTTATAGACAATGCCATGGAGTCTGAGACAGGTTTCAGTTCAGTTCAGTCACTCAGTTGTATCCAGCTTCTTGCAACCCCATGGACTGCAGCATGCCAGGCCTCCCTGTCCATCACCATCTCCTGGAGTTTACTTAAACTCATGTCCATTGAGTCGGTGATGCCATCCAACCATCTCATCCTCTGCTGTCCCCTTCTCCTCCAGCTTTCAATCTTTCCTAGCATCAGGGTCTTTTCCAATGAGTCAGTTCTTCGTATCAGGTGGCCCAAGTATTGGAGTTTCAGCTCCAGCATCAGTCCTTCCAATGAATATTCCGAACTGATTTCCTTTAGGATGGACTGGTTGGATCTTCTTACTGTCCAAGGGGCTCTCAAGAGCCTTCTCCAACACCACAGTTCAAAAGCATTAATTCTTTGGCACTCAGCTTTCTTTATAGTTCAACTCTCAGATTGGTGATAGGTTTAGTGACTTATCCAAATAGAGAAGAAGGAAATGAGAGACTTGGAGCTTCACACTAGCATCTCTAGCATGTTTTACATCTTCTGCTTATTTCATTGTACACTCCTGCCGTCACAAGAGAACTGGAAGAGAAAAGTCCCAGTTCTCAGGGCTTCATACTGTAATAGGAGAAGTGGAACAAACACAAAAGAAATTAGGAAAAACAAAAGATAACCCAACTTAAGAACAGTATAGAACAAATATAATCAGAATCATATTCCTAACTGATGAGGAAATGGGAAGGAAATGAAGGAAATTAGGAAATGAAATGATTGTCAGGAGGAAAAGTTTCAGAAAGGAGATTAAAAAAAAAAACTTGTAGATTGAAGATATCAAGAATTATTTTCATGGATATATTCTAATAGCTGATTTTCTTAGTGCTTTTCTTGTGCCAGCAACTTGCAGATAAAAAGTGAAAGTGAAAGTCACTCAGTCATGTCCAACACTTTGTGACCCCAGAGACTGTAGCCCACCACGCTCCTCTGTCCATGGAATTCTCCAGGCCAGAATACTGGAGTGGGTAGCCATTCCCTTCTCCAGGGGATCTTGCCAACGCAGGGATCAAACCCAGGTCTCCCGAATTGCAGGCAGATGCTTTACCATCTAATCCACCAGGGAAGCCCAAAGGGAACAGTTATATGTATTTCTAGTGATGATGAGATTTCTCTATGATAGTATTAATAAAATATAGTAAAAATAACTCTGTTTGTAAATACAGACAAACTTTATTGCATTTTTTACAAATTAAGGAATTGTAACAACCCTGCATTGAGTAAGTCTGTTGGTGCCATTTTTCCAACATCTACTTAATTCATGTCTTTGATTTTGCTAATTCTTGCAGTATTTCCAACTTTTTCATTATGTTTGTTATGCTAATCTGTGCTCAGTGATCCTTGATGTTGCTATTGCCAAAAGACTGACTTCCTGAAGGCTCAGATGATGGTTAGCATTTTTTAGCAATAAAGTATTTTAAAGTTAAGATCTATACATTTTTTAGACACAATGCTATATTGCACACTTAACAGACTACAGTATAGTGTATACATAACTTTATATATACTGGGAAACCAAGACATTCATGTGATTCTCTTTATTGTGATATTCACTTTTTTACAGTGGTCTGAGGCAGTATATAGTCAGCAAAAATAAGACCAGGAGCTGATTGTGGCTCAGATCATGAACTCCTTATTGCCAAATTCAGACTTAAAGTGAAGAAACTAGGGGAAGCCACTAGACCATTCAGGTATGACCTAAAACAAATCCCTTATGATTATACAGTGGAAGTGACAAATAGATTCAAGGGATTAGATCTGATACAGTGCCTGAAGAACTATGAACGGAGGTTCGTGACATTGTATAGGAGGCAGTGATTAAGATCATTCCAAAGAAAAAGAAATGCCAAAAAGCAAAATGGTTGTCTGAGGAGCCCTTACAAATAGCTAAGAAAAAAAGTGAAGCTAAAAGCAAAGGAGAAAAGGAAAGATAGACCCATTTGAATGCAGAGTTCCAAAGAATAGCAAGGAGAGAGAAGAAAGCCTTCCTCAGCGATCAATGCAAAGAAATAGAGGAAAACAATAGAATGGGAAAAATTAGAGATCTCTTCAAGAAAATTAGAGATACCAAGGGAACATTTCATGTAAAGATGGGCATAATAAAGGACAGAAATGGTATGGACCTAACAGAAGCAGAAGATATTAAGAAGAGGTGGCAAGAATACACAGAAGAACTATACAAAAAAGATCTTCATGACCCAGATAATCACGATGGTGTGATCACTCACCTAGAGCCAGACATCCTGGAATGTGAAGTCAAGTGGGCCTTAGGAAGCATCACTATGAACAAAGCTAGTGGAGGTGATGGAATTCCAGTTGAGCTATTTCAAATCCTAAAAGATGATGCTGTGAAAGTGCTGCACTCAATATGCCAGCAAATTTGGAAAACTCAGCAGTGGCCACAGGACTGGAAAAGGTCAGTTTTCATTCCAATCCCAAAGAAAGGCAATGCCAAAGAATGCTCAAACTACCGCACAATTGCACTCATCTCACACGCTAGTAAAGTAATGCTCAAAATTCTCCAAGCCAGGCTTCAGCAATACGTGAACCGTGAACTTCCAGATGTTCAAGCTGGTTTTAGAAAAGGCAGAGGAACCAGAGATCAAATTGCCAACATCCGCTGGATCATCGAAAAAGCAAGAGAGTTCCAGAAAAACATCTATTTCTGCTTTATTGACTATGCCAAAGCCTTTGACTGTGTGGATCACAATAAACTGTGGAAAATTCTGAAAGAGATGGGAATACCAGACCACCTGACCTGCCTCTTGAGAAACCTGTATGCAGGTCAGGAAGCAACAGTTAGAACTGGACATGGAACAACAGACTGGTTCCAAATAGGAAAAGGAGTACGTCAAGGCTGTATATTGTCACCCTGCTTATTTAACTTATATGCAGAGTACATCATGAGAAATGCTGGGCTGGAAGAAGCACAAGCTGGAATCAAGATTGCCGGGAGAAATATCAATAACCTCAGATATGCAGATGACACCACCCTTATGGCAGAAAGTGAAGAGGAACTAAAAAGCCTCTTGATGAAAGTGAAAGAGGAGAGTGAAAAAGTTGGCTTAAAGCTCAACATTCAGAAAACTAAGATCATGGCATCTGGTCCCATCACTTCATGGCAAATAGATGGGGAAACAGTGGAAACAGTGACAGGCTTTATTTTTTTGGGCTCCAATATCACTGCAGATGGTGACTGTATCCATGAAATTAAAAGATGCTTGCTCCTTGGAAGAAAAGTTATGACCAACCTAGACAGCATATTAAAAAGCAGAGACATTACTTTGCCAACAAAGGTCCATCTAGTCAAAGCTATCGTTTTTCCAGTAGTCACGTATGGATGTGAAAGTTGAGCTATAAAGAAAGCTGAGCATCGAAGAATTGATGCTTTTGAACTGTGGTGTTGGAGAAGGCTCTTGAGAGCCCCTTGGACAGCAAGGAGATCCAACCAGTCCATCCTAAAGGAAATCAGTCCTGAATATTCATTGGAAGGACTGATGCTGAAGCTGAAACTGCAATACTTGGGCCACCTGATACGAAGAACTGACTCATTGGAAAATACCCTGATGCTGGGAAAGATTGAAGGCAAGAGGAGAAGGGGACGACAAAGGATGAGATGATTGGATGGCATCGCCGACTCAGTGGACATGAGCTTGAGGCAACTTCAGGAGTTGGTGATGGACAGGGAGGCCTAGCATGCTGCAGTCCATGGGGTCACAATGAGTTGGACATGACTGAGTGACTGAACTGAACTGAACTGAACTGAGGCTGTATGCTTGTAGTTCTTTCATTAAATCTATTTACATTTCAAATGGGGAGTTTTATTGAAAGAGCATTTAGTGCATTAAAGGAAATGCTTCCTGGGTAACTCAAATGGTAAAGAATTCGCCTTCAGTGTAGGAGACCTGGGTTCAATTCCTGGATCAAGAAGATCCCCTGGAGAAGGGAGTGGCAACCCACTCCAGTATTCTTACTTGGGAAATCCCACAGATAGAGGAGCCTCGTGAGCTAACAGTCCATAGCGTCGCAAAGAGTTGGACACGATTGAGCAACTAACACACACACACACAGAGGAAATGCAGTGTTACGGAAATCCAAGGATCAGAATTATAGTCTGTCTGGAGCAGTTGGAGGTACTACTACCTGAGCATTTGGGTTTAGGGAAGCTTCAGGGACTTTAGCGGGAGCCTGTGGATAATATCAATGAATGTGATAGTAAGAGAGTTTCTCAGGTGGCTCAGTGTTA